CCTGTGTGCTCACCTGGGTCCCCTGTGCACTCACCTGGGTCACATCTGCACTCACCTGGGTCCCCTGTGTGCTCACCTGGGTCACCTGTGTGCTCACCTGGGTCATTTTGTCCACGGAGACGGGGATGCCATCGATGGTGAGGGGGGGCAGCTCTGAGTTCACCTCCTGGGGGGCCGGGGCGTGCTCGGCCAGCGCCGACTCCAGGTCCTCCAGGATGGTGCTCTTGTACTTGCGCACCTGTGGGGAGTTGTTAGCTCAGGTAAACAAGGGCAGCAGCACCACGAGAGAGAGGAGCAGGGGGCAGGCCCAGCCACCTTCCCCCAGGTGCTGCAGAGCAGGAGGAGCAAACAGTGGCACAACTGGCGGGACACAGCAGCAGCCCCCCGAGACTCAGCCCTGCTGATGAAACTTGCAGTAACGCTGGCGAGGGAAGGATTTGTGGGATGAAAGGAAAAGTTCTCTAAGTAAAACTTGTGCTGGGCAGGGTGTGCAGTGAGGTGCAGGCAGCAGAGCTGAGCTTAAACATGTATTTATTATTAGGGTTTAGTCTGGAGCAAAGGAGGCTCAGGGAGGGCCTTGTGGCTCTGCACAAGGAGGGGACAAATTGGGCTGTGCTCCAGGGAACAGGGACAGGAGCAGAGGGAACAACCTCAGGCTGGGCCAGGGCAGCTCAGGGTGGGCACAGCAGGAATTTCCCCATGGAAAGGGGGTCAGGCCTTGGCTGGCGCTGCCCAGGGAGCTTTGGAGTGCCCATCCCTGGAGGTGGCCAAGGAATTCCTGGATGTGGCACTCAGGGCTCTGGGCTTGAGACGAAGTGGGGTTCTGACACCTTGGACTCAATGATCCTGGAGGATCCTGGATCCTGGATCCTTTCCAGCCTCAGGGATTCTGTATCATGACCTGTTCCCTCTGATTTTTAAATTTTTAATCCAAGATGTTCCCCCCTGGTGAGATGTGCCAGGCAGCCATTCTTGAAGAGAGGAGAGGACCTCAGTGCTGCCCTCATGTCAGGGAGTCACAGGAACATTAAGGCCGGAAAAGATCTCTGAAATCACTGACTCAACCAGATCCAGCACTGTATCCCATAAAACCCAACCTCTGTTTTCCAGGGTTTTTAGCATGACATTCAGATCCCTACCAGGCCTCCAAGGCTGCCCTGAACAGAACAAAACCTGCAGAGAAGGTGAGCAATTTGTCTCCTCACTTTCCCAGGGACACCTACCACGTTCTCCAGGGGTGCAGCACCGAACACTTTGAAGACAGGGTTGGGTTTGGAGGGTGAGATGCACAGCACGATGGCCTGCTGCCCCACTCTGGTGGTGTACTCATCCAGCGTGGCCCTCAGCTTCCTGAAACACAGCAAAACCTGGCGATGGGCAGGAGCTGGAAGCCCACACAAACAGCACCCCCCTGGCTGCCAGCTCCCCTGCACAAAGCAGGTGAGAAGCAGAGCCCAGCTGCTCAGCTTGGCCTCATATGGAGCTTATCCCTCTGCTCCACAGGCCTGCTGTGCTCCCTGCAGCCAGCCAGCAGCTCAAATGGCAATTATTGTCCCCTCTCTCCTTTTCTCATTGATGTAAAAAGAGAAATCAGCAGAGCAGCAAAGCTGGGGCAGCGAGAGTCTGCGCTTGCACTCTGCCCCGGCAACACAAAACTTGTGTTTTGTTGAAGCACCTGAATGATTCATCAAAAGAGGTTGTTCTACATCCAGATCATAGCAGTGCAATTCTCCAGCACCAAAGTCCTGGAGATCAGACCAGATCTGGAGGAATTCAAGCTACAGGATAGGCAAGACCTGGAAATATTGCAACAGCTCAGCACAGGAAGCCCAGGTGTCCCAACACCTGCATCATCAGCAACTCCCTTTGGAATCAAATTTTCCACTGGATATTTTCTGCCTCTTATTCCCTTTTAAGCAGTGCCAGAGCCAGAAATGGTGGCAGAAACTCCAAAAGCAAGAGAGAAGTAGTGCTTTCCTCAGAAAAGCTGAGCACTCTGTGAGGGGACAGCTCAGCCCTGTCCTGGTCATTTCAGAACCTGAGGCTGCCAAAAAGCAGCTCCAGCTACACAGACCCCACAGTCAGGGGTTTGGAATTACCACCTGATTCCCAGCGGGCTGAAAATCAGGCACAAACATGGGTTCAGCTGGTCAGAGTGGGAAAAAAATGATGTTTTGTCATTATCTTAAGGTATGTAAGGTATCTTAAGGTATCTTAAGGTATCTTAAGGTATAAGGCATCTTAAGGTATCATTATCAAAATGAAGTAGGTGTGTGAAAGGAGAAGAAATAATTCCTTCACTGAGCAGTTT